CGATTTTACTTTGGAACTCGTGGTTGGTTTAGATCGACGGCGCTACGATTAAACGATAACGCGATAACGCTGTTTTATATGTATAGTAGATACGTACATCGATACGCGATGTTTGATACGAAAACTATATTGGCTAGCGTTTAAAAAAGCTGGCTGGGCCGTACTACGTTCATTTTCGGTTCGATCGACAAACAATCTGTTCTCGTCGAAAATAAAAAGTTGAACACGGCGCGTAACAGGGTGTTTCGTAGCACGAAACGGGAATCGTATCGACGATACTGTACATGGAAACTATAAAAACTAAATTCATCTAAATCTGCCTTACTTTCGCAACAGGTGTTGAAAATCACCTTCTTGCTCTAATAACTCGTACGTGAGATACCAAGAGGAATTCTTTACAGAATTAGAATACAAGGGCCAACGTTGTCGAGTTTTATTATTAAATGGATCGAATTAGTTTAACTATGTCTATTCGTGCCTAGTGCTTTGTTTTCTTTTCGTACCACGTGCTACGGAGCATCCTGTAGATCGAAATTAATCCGGTCGATTTTATTCGCGCGACTATAAAAAAAAATGAAAAATCTGTCTTTGTACTTTCTCTTCTCCGTTTTCTTTCGAAAACGCTCCCTTTTACAATTTATCGCGTCTCAATTTGCATTCGTATTTCCACTGGCACGCGCGGCGCACACGCTTCTTCTCGACAATCGAGTTCCGTTCGCATGTATGGTATAGTATGTATATCGAACGACGCGTCGTAGAAAAAGGGCGTAAAAAGGTGATGTTCGCGGAAGATATTTCCATGTCCCGTAATTTCCTCCTTTTCGTTTTCGTCTGCGCGCAGCGGTCACTTGCCTTCTTTAGTTCGTTCCGATTGATCCGTCGGAACAATGCATCGCTGTGAATTCGTCGACGTCGAGGCGCCTATAAAAGTCTAGCTAGGCGCATGTAAAAAAATACATATCTGGACGTACGAAAATCGCCAATCTCCGTTGCGTTGCGTTGCGTTGCGTTGAGTTGGGTTTGCGTTGGGTTGCGTTGCGTTACGTTGCGTTACGTTGCGGTTGAGGTTCCACGGTCCGTCGGATGAAACATAGCTGTTGCGAGGTGCGCTGGCTGTGCAGCTCGTACGCGAATCGCTCGGAAAATACTTGGCAAAAGCTCGAAAATATTGTCTGTGACTGGAATTTCGTAGTTTCGTTTCCCGGCGGCGAGGCTCTCGTCGATAATCTTTGGTAAAAAGAGTTTCCCCGAGAACTCTGTCGCCTCTACGCTCGCTGGTCGTTACAAAATACGCCCCGAGTTCGATGATACTCGCGCGCTCGACTAACGGGAGAAGACTTTGATCGACGTAAAAAATATCGCATAAATAGTATTGCTTCGACGTACTTTAAACGCTACTTCTAGCACGATAATGCGTTTAAAAGTAGTTTACGTATCCTTGGACGATTACTTCGATCGCGGATAAAGAGAAGATGTTTGCATTAAAAACGTTAATTCGAGATCGTAAAATCGGAGCAAGACACAAATGCGAGAATCGTTTTATAATTCTCCCATACATTTTTTCTATCGTTTTAAACTGTTACTATTTAAATATACGTATCTATGTAGTCGAGTTTGCCATATAATTTCCGATTATTCGTTACTCGGTAATCAAAGATGAGGGAACGCGTCCAATCAAGGTGTGTTAACGCGGTGATGTACATATAAATCCTATCAGCGCGGGAAACTACGATTTCTCCTTTTACACGCGTAATAAAATATAAATCGTACAAGTATAATATCTGAAAGGTTCGATAAAAACAGGTTACTTCAAAATTGTTCTAAATCGGTTGCTCGCTCGCGTTGCGCCAGTTGCATCAATCCGTCTTCTCTTTCGATTTCTTTCCAATTCCGAGGAACGACGTTTATCGCCTGCTCGTTTCTGTCTCTCTCTGTGTGTGTGTGCATAAAAGTGACGAAAGTGTAACAAAATAAATTCGCGTCCCAACATACTGCGCTACGCGTCGTAATTCGTTCAAAGCACACGGTGACACGCGAGTCACACGGAGTGGGCCTGAAGCGCACCAAAAATGTCAAACAGACAGTACATGTATACGGATACGCGCGAGAAAAATGTCCAGCGACGAGTCCAAACCAGAATCAAAACAATTTTAACCCGTTAAATGCTATAGATGCGAAAAAGCAACATTAAATTTAATTCGGTAATTTTAATTCGCCAGTTTTTTGGACAATTCCTTTCTTCAGGAACGTGTATCGATTTTATTAGGAAAAATATTAAAGATTCGCTCTCTGTAATTCGGACAAAAATGAATACATTTTATAAAAAATAATATTTGATCGTTAACGGGTTAAAGGTCGCAAGGTCTCCGAGTCGAATAAAGATCGATAATGTTGGTTGGGGATGTCGTTGGTGGGTAGATCAGCGTACCGATAAATCGTAAAATCGAAGACCTGCTTGCACAAGCTGCGTTTCTGAACCGACGAGCAACCGGGCCTATCATCGATCTACCGAGCTCCGAGTAATGCGCGCATCGAGACCGGTCCACGTGTACAAAAATTGTCTCCGTTTCGTCCAAGCATAGAATATTACACAGTAAATGCCTATAGAAAGAGATTATTTCGAAAAAAATAACGATACAAAAAAAGACTGGTAAGATCGAATTAACTAGCAACGCGACCAGCCGCGTTTTCGCAGGGTCGCTTCGTCGATTAAATGTTCTACGAATATATATATATATATATAGGTACATATATATATTATCGTCGCTACGCTAGACGCTAAGAATAATTATCATAAATCTCACTGTTTCTCTCGTTCACGCACACCCGCATTCCTTTATTTAACCCCTTTTCTCCGGCGATTCGGTACAAAATTCTCGGACACCCTCCGAAAAATGTACACGCTGCAAACAAATTGAAATTGTTGGATCGCTAGAGTTCGTGTTCGATGTCGGATGTCAGAGATTCGGAACTGAATCGAAAACGATCGCACTTCCGCAACACACAGATTTCCAACACGCACCCGCGAACATCCACGTTCCGTAAATAACTGTTGATCGTAGTTGCATAAAGTGTTGATCTTTATTAATAATCCTTAATGTAAAATTATTCGAAAGGTAAACAAGATACAGTATTTTGTTTGTTCGTTAAATTCGCCTATCGGTTTAAGCGTGACTACCGTATGAAAAAGAACGTTCGACGAGCGACAGGCAAACGAATGAATCGGCGTGTAACCGTGAAACTTAGCAAAGGTGTTGTTTTTTTCACTTAAGTGTAGTTACTTACATAAGGTTACGTTAAGCGTAATGTGTGAAATATCCTAGATCTTGCGGCGCCAATTCCCTTCCCTGGCGCCGTTCGCTTAGGCGTTATTCGTAACATCGGGGAGAATCGATTCTCATCGATTAACCGATTAACCGTTCGTTACTTAATACTGTGACAAACGACAGTGATCAAGCAATCGCTTTTTTTTTCATTTCTTTTTAATTGCAGGAGATCTAAGAGAAACTATGTATATCCCAAAGCGAATCAAGTCCAGCGTTGGTTGATCGATCGAACGTGGACTTGATTCGAGCCAGTTCCGAGCCGCTAACTTTTTACGTATATAGATTGCGTGTAAAAAATTACAGACGCGTTGAAATAAGAAATTTCCTGGACGACCCAGGGATCTACCGAAATTCTCTCGTCGCGTACATTTCGTCGGGCTTTTCTTTTCTCTGTCCTCGATTGCTCGACGAACTCGTAGGAAGCAGGGGAGAAGGATGGACGTGTACTAAAAAAATGAGAAAATAACGAAACGAAATCGAAACGGCCTGCGTTTAACGCCGCGAAAGAAACAAAAAAAAAAACAAAAGAAAAATATGTACCAAGAAAAGGAAAGCAAGAGAAGGTTGTTGAATCGAAAAACTAAAAATCACGTAAAAGTACAGGGGAAGAACCGTAGAAACAAGGTAGAAAAAGGATGTCTCGAATCGTGCAAATGTCTAGTCTGCAAATTAATAGGACGCTTGAATCGTATTCAACACCTGTCTGCTTATAAACGTTCAAGAATCGAAGATGGTACAAGAAACCAAGTCTTTTTACGAAACGAAAGTAAAAAAAGGTTCTCTCGTTCGTTCGTAACTTCCGTGCAACTTTCGTGGATCGAGGAGTGACTAGTAATAAATTATTCTTGCCTTCGTTTCGTCTTTTTTTTCCTCAATTTTTGTTGCCTCTGTTCCCGTCGGCGCTTTTAACCTCTGTCGATATTCAAGACGCGATCGTCGATGATTTATTTACAAGACGCGATGAGCGTTTTATTGCGATTTACTCGTCGTCGTTTCCGATCTAGCGAAATATGAAAAAGCATACGTTATTAAAAATAGAAATGCAATGTAAGAAGGGGGTCATAAATCGCGTCTTGCATAAGACAGACGTTGGCGTTTCGTTCCTCGTTTCACCCAGAGGTGGGCAGGATACTATCATTGGTATAAAAAAATAAAGATGATCGTTCAAACGAGCTCCGCAAAAACTTGCTTTAATAAAAAATTATATCCTTCGAGTAAGAAAACCTCGCAGTTTGGTAACTTCAAGTTAGGACTTAAGTTGCACTTGTAAGTTTCCTCTAATTGCATTATCGTTTATATTACAAAATCATAGAAATTTGCGTTCACAATTATACGCTAGGACAAAAGTGGATATCTTAAGTAATAGTTATTAGTAACAAGAGGGTTCTACGATAACTTACGAATATAAACGGCGAAATTTTTACAATAAAAACAAACGTCGACGTATAAATGTACATAAAAAGATACGTAGAAATCCGAAACGACATTTAAAAAATCCAGTTCCATTATCGCTATTACAACTTTCGTTCCGCCTCTATTTTTATTCTTCTGCTTCTTTTCTTTTCATTTTCTTTCATTTTTCGTCGTTTTCCCCTCGTTTCCATTTTATATATCTAACAGACGTTTACTATTCTCGTAAAAATTTCCACAAAACAAAAGCAGTCAGAGTTTCTATTTCTACGTAAAAAACGCATGCACTGTGCCCGCCTCTGGGATGCACTTTGCTCCGTATTTCTATTTTCCGCCTTTTGTCACGCACACGCACACACGCAACACACGCAACACACGCAGCAAACACACACGCGCGCGCACACACATACACACACACGCACGCGCACACACACACTGCCTCCCTTTCTCAGATATTTTCTCTTGCGTGTAAAGTCTATTTTTCGTTTTCAGGCTCTCGTTTAAAAAAATAAAAAAATATCTTCTCTTTCCTTTCTTCGCGCAATGCGTCTTTTTCTCTCGACGTCGCGTTACCCTCGTTCACTCCCTCTCTCGCACACACGGTCGCATTCTCTCGCTCTCGATCTCTCCTTTTCTTTTTTTTTTTCTTTTTTTTGCTCGTCGCTCTGTTGCTTTCTTTCGTCCGGTAAGAACATTGCACGGCTCCCAGCTCCAGTTTATACTGTCTTATAGCCTTATCACGTTTTACGTTCTAAGTGTCTCCGTCAAACATATACATGTACATACATTAAGTTTATCTAAACTACTTCTAGTCGCGCGGCCAGTACCGCGGGCGCAGTGGATTGACCTCGCTCGATGTACTAATTAATTCATCGATTACGTTAATCGATGGAAAACAAAGAAAATTACACGGTATCTGCCCCCCGTAAGATGCTTCTTCGATGGGTCTACGATCAAATCGTCGATTAGGATAGCAGAATCGTTGGATGAGCGCATTATACTATAGTACAACCCGAGCGGCGATAGTACGAATCCGGTTTTAATCAATTTTTTCTACGAAACACCACATTTATCGCTGTGGATTTCAATCGTCGGATCGAAAGCGCGACTGTTTCTCCTTCTCTTACGTTTCTTTGCTTTTTCGGAAGATTTGAAATTTCACATTCTGCTGGAATTTGTACAACTATGTGAACGTTGATCGCAGACCTGGGGAATTCGAGATACACGAGATACTCGGGACGATACAGCCGAATATCGTATTTCGACGATCCAATTATAATCCGCGTTCGAACGCAATTACCAAAAAAGAGAACGGACATTTTTCACGACCCGAAAGGACACCGGCGATCAGAGAAATCGTTACGATCGCGATCTGGCTCTGGATCTGGCTCTGGCTCACGGCGTCGCGTCCTTTCGCGTCGAGTTATAGTTATGCTTTCTACCCGTCTCTCGTTTTCTGCATGCGTGTCGGGCCCCGTACGTCTGTACGCGTGTACATGTGTACATGTGTACGTGTATACGTGCACGTGTCCATGTATATATCGGTGTCAAAAGTGTGTGTTCGACTATTTCTTTGGTACATGGAGATATACATACGCATATATATCTATAATAGACGCTATAATAATAATCATTCATCGTAATCGAATAATAGTAATAGTGATAATCATAATCGCAATAATAACGGCATTAATATTAATCGCGTTAAAATACTATCAACTAATAGTAATTATCGTAGCGACAATATAGAAAATTCGCAAAACGGAGGAAGGAGAAGACGGGCGCGCTCGGCCGGTCGTTAGGATTTCTAAAAACAGGAGAAACTAGAAGGACGAAGAGGCTTACGAATAGGTCCGAACGGTCGGTTGGTTCACGGTGGCGTCCAAGGCGAGCCTAAGCGTTCGTTTTCTAAACGGTTGGCCGACGGGTGTTCGGGCATTCGAGCCGTGACGATCGCGACAAACTCTACGTATCGATAAAAATTTACAAAAATTGATTCGAGTCGGCCCTGATCGCGGCCAAGCATCGATTTCCCGTCCTCTGGTCTCGCCTCGTCTCGCCGCGCCTCGCCTAACCTCCGTCCGGCAATACGACCTCTTCGTCCACGAGGAAACTCAAAGAGTAAGATCAAAGACGTCCAACTGGAAAACTTAAAAAAGGAAAGAAGAACCGAAGGAACAAAATATAAACGATAAGACTGGAAAATAGACACGCAACTTATCGCTACGAACACTATGAATGTCTGTCTCCGTTACAATGCTAAGTATACAAGGACGACAACGTTTATTTAAAAAAATAAAAATCAATCGAATCGTACGCGGAACACGGTACATCGGAGGGTGAGCAAGGAAGTTGTATATACGGTGAACCGAGTAGCGTTTACCAACAAGTAGACGTATTCGTGGACGCGATGTCGTCTCGTGGTTTGCTACAACTCGTTCGCGTTCCGTTCGTTCGTCTCTTCTCGGGGGTTTTTGCGAAACGAGCTTCGGAAAAACCCGTTTCTCGGGAGAGGTTCGCTCGCGAGGGATCGTGATCGCACGGTACGGGTTTCCCCTCGATCGGCCTCGACGTTCGCGCAACGCGTTGCACGAGCACAGCCTCGACCTCTTAAACGCCGACTAAAATAGTCGCCACTCGGAATTCTAGCGCAATCGATATCGCTAATCGATCGACACCCGGCGGCCATACGCTTAACGACAACTCGGAAATACGTTATCAAGTTGTATACATTTATAGAAAAATATTACACGAGCAAATAATCCGTCGTCCTTAGAATTCGTTGGAGCAAGTGTTTTCTTTCCTACTACTATGGAGGAACGATTCATCCAGACACGTAATAAATTTCTTGAATATTTACCAAATAAAAAAAGGTGCAAATGCTACGGTTGAGAAATACAAAACTAAGCATACGTATACGTATAGTACGGAAAAATACATCAAACTTTTTACTACTGTGTGTATGTACGTTAACACTTGCTGTACGTCCAAGAAATTTCCATTTAACTATGCTTACTGTTAGTATTGCAATTTTATATATAAAAGTTGAATTTTTCAAGCGTGCGTAAGAACATGGCCGTCTAATGTGTAGATACGCGTCGTCTATCCGGATAATGAACTGCGTTCTATCGAGCGGACGTCGACGTTGCGAACAAGTTTCGACAACCGCAATCGGCCGGTTGCGGCGACGCGTTGGGTCGTACGGTGGTCGATCGGGTGTTTGGTTTCTCGTATCCGCGGACGTGTCGCACGCGATACGCGTCAAACAGGCGATTTCTTTCTTTTACGCCCACACGGTAGAAAATGCAAACTGGTCATGACCGAATCGTGACTTTTTCCCTCGATCCCCCGCGATGCGATCCCGCCGTCTCGCCTCGCTCGCTACGATTTTCCTGCTTCTCGCGAAGCTTTTTCCTTTCGTTTCGCTCGCTACCCGTTCTCAATCAACCGTCTAACGTTCTCTCTCTCTCTCTCTCTCTCTCTCTCCCCCTACCACCCATTCTATCCCTCTCCCTTGCATTCGAACGCACTCGGACGCGCCTAATCTCGCATGCACGCTAAAGATACAGAAATCTTCTCTCACGCATTCTTTCTGAACTAAGATATTTAGACAAGAATATAACAGCGGTATAAAAAACTTCTCAACACTGAAAAATACAAATCTATCGTAAATGACTACCATTGTTACTCGTTCCCACCCACATTTTTATCTTTTTTTCATTTTGTTTCGTTACCTTTCGTTTAATTACACACACAGACGTATTACTCGAACGACAGTATACGCGCGATATAATTATAATATTCGTGTGCACCCGCGTGTGAATACCGCCCGGCAAAACTCCTAGTTTTTCACCGTTTCTCGCGTGCCTCTGTCTCGGCCATTTTGTTGCTTCGTCCCGAAAACGCCGCGGCGGGTTTTCACACGATGCCTGCCTCGTGTCCTTTTCGACCCTACTCCTCGTCCCTTTGCATTATTTCCTCCCCTACTGTCGTTTCGCGCAATCGGTATATAATTTCCAATTACATACTTCCGTTTACTTTTGTTTCCAAGTTTGTCAGAATATATTAGATATTTGAATCGTTATTATCAATTATATATTAGTACTTTATATATATATATATATATAATATATATATATATATCTATCTATATATATATATATATATTGTATGCATATATATATATATATCTATATATATATATATAATTGTCATTATATTATATATTATGCTTTATCACACATATTACAAAGGAGGTGAAGAATCATACCTAACATATTATTTATTATTTTCTTGTTGTTACTCTTGTTACTAGCGATATCAAACGATAACTTCGCCGCGGATGCAGTTTTATCATCAACACCGTCGTCGTTATTATTATTATTATTATTATTAATATTATTATTATTATTATTATTTTGTATTATTAATATTAATATTATTATTATTGTAATTATTATTCTTATTTTTTTTTTTTTTGCTTCAAATTGTTTGCGCGCCACGTTTGCGGATGCATTTCATCGTGTGTACGTGTGCATGTTCGTATGTATATAAAGAAGTTTTTTTCGCTAGCCGACTGCAGCGGCAGTCCTTTCTCGTTCGCTTCTACTTTCCCGCGTTCTCCGCGTCTTTCCTCTCATATTTTTTTTTTTGTTGCGGAACGACGAACAAGAGACTTGGATAGATTGCGATTTCCGTGCGTCTACGACGACGAGACCGATTTCCGTAGTCCCAACGCGCGCCGCCCTCCGAATTATTCGCCGTTTTCGGAAAGCGAGCATAAGCCGAGGCATCGACGGGACGCGTGTACACTCTCGCGAATTACAAAAATTCCAAGTGATATGTTCGCATCAGCGATTTCATTCCATCGCGGAGACATTCGATCGTTGAGCGGGCAATCTCGATTCGGAGCAACGCGAGTTAGATTTGCTAATGAATTCGGCTAGATCCGCGTTATCGGCGAATTAAAAGTATTTTTCGACTAGCTACCAGACACATCCGAACTCCTACCGAGCTCGAATCAACGATTTTCGTTTCACAAATAAATCGTCACGAATATACAAAATTCATCAAATAAAATTTCTACTAATTTCTCTAAATGTACAAAATTTCGTATCGCCTCGATACGCAGAGTACTCGCGATGATAAAAATTAACTAAAGGAATCCAATTCCCGAAGTATCGCGCAACGCCATGGAACCCGGTACGAGCTGCCGATCGTTTATCGATCGATGCACGAAAATCGTTAACCCTTTCGATACCACCGGTGACTATGGTCACCGTTCGTCGCGCGCTGGTGCTATTCTATCCTTTACTATGTTCACCCGCTAAAATATTCCATCGATTCGCAACGCGTTGCACACCTCTATCGACTACCGATTTTACTATTTAAGAAATTTAGAAACGAAAATGAAACGAACAAAAGGAGTTAGAAAGTGGTGGATCGTTTGCTTTAAAATGTCTATACAACGACAAACTCCTCGTTACTGTTGTAAAATCTACGATGTAGGCCTACGCGTATATTTTAAAATTTTCCACGCGGAATTGTATATCGTCGAACGATTTTTAAAACACGATTATTCTAAAATTAATCAATAAACGTTACTACGTGAAAATGCGATGTGTGGCGTCGCATCGTATCGAAAGGGTTAATCGTCATCGTCGTAGAGGCACACAAATATAGAAAATAGTAGCCAATTCGCGTGTAATTTTCGAACACTTGGTTAAAGCACCGCAATACGTTTCTTGCTCCTGCTTTCGTTTTAATTTCCTATCGTGTGTGTGTGTGTGTGTGTGTGTGCGCGTGTGCATGCGTGTGTTGGATGCTCGCGCGCGTACGCGTGTTCGCGATACAGAGGACGCCGAAAAAGAATATCCGTGTGGAACGGCGCGCGAAATTGCAAAACGCGGGTTCCGCTAAATTTAGCTAAACGGTAATGTGTGTCCTAGCGGTTCTCGCGTACGGAAAACGCGTGCACGCGCGCTTTTATCTATGCTGGTGTGTGCTCGTACAAGTGTAAGCGCGTGGTGTGTTCGTGTGGGTGGATTGGCACGTTCCGCGCCAGAACAGTTACGGCGAAAATCGCTCGAGAAGGTTCGTTCCGTGGAGCGCGCGACGGTTCTGGCGCGGGCAGCTTGTGTTCGCTCGTGCAAAAAACCGCGCGATTCTTGTTCGCCAATAGCAGGTTCCAGAGACGCTTCGCGATTCGAAGCAAAACATTCTTTAACGAATAGAAAAATTTGTCTAGAAAAATCTCGGTCTCGGTCCTCGTCCAAATACTCGATTCGTTCAAGTATTGGAACAAAACTACTCTCTATATATATATGTATACTTTTTCTTTAATTATCAATTGATTTAGGTGAATTGGTACCTAGTTAAGTTTCGCTACAATTATATCGATCGATTAGTGGGAGAGCTTGTCCGTGCACAAACGAGATATCGTGTGCATACGCGGCGGCAACGCGTACATATACGCGTATCCGTATCGTTTGTCGTGCGTAGACGCGTACGAGCAATCTGCCGGGGCGCGTGCATCACCCCCTTTACGGACGCATATTTACGAGTCGCGAATTTTCACCTAATATACGAACCGCGGTGTCGCGATCGAGTCTCCTCGTCGCCCCCGATAAACGTCCACGGTGAAAAGGTACTCGAAAACATTTTTTAGCAAGAGATTTCTCTCGAGCCGATAAAATGTATTGCCGAGCGTTATGTTCGACGTTCGTCGGTGCAGAATCCGGGACGACGAAGCGCGATCGAGGGAGTTTCGTCTTGGAAGCAATCGAAAAACCACACCCGCGCACCGCGGTATTTAATTTATTATTTACCGGTCGCGTACCGCACGGAATCGCTCCTCGTCCACGCGAGAACGATGCCTTGCCTTGCCTTGTTTGCCTTGCCTTGCGTGGAAAAATTACGCTAACTAATGTTCGTCTCATTTTCTCTCGCTCGCTCGCTCGATCGATCGATCGATCGAGCCCTTTCCTCTCTCGTCCCCCGTTATCTAACTTTTTAGCCGTTCATCGAAACTGTCCCCCGCTTCTTCGTCTCGTTTATAGTCTTCGGACGAACATCTTCGAACTCGTCGAGTGCGTACGAAAAGATTAACCGTTATTTAGAATATTACGGGAGCAACGGATAGAAAAATCTCAACGCGTTCCTCGTTCTCTATCGATTACTGATGCTCGGGTTTACTTATTTATTTCTTCTTTTCTGTTTGGTTAAGTCCGCGCGTTGCGGCATGTTTCGTCTAAATACCTTCTGTCTCTGCCAATGCTCAGCCGAGGGAGGTGGGGGGCGAATGAAAAACGGGGTTGCTCGTCTCGACGGATCATCGTCGAGCGGATGTTTACTCGTTAATTATTTAGACTACGCGTTTACCCGCCCCCGTTAAACGCTCGCGAGTTATCTGCACGAATTCTGTACGAACGAAGGGACGGAGGGATGATCGTTAACGCGGCTTTTCACTCGACTCTCCCTTACTCTGGTGCGCATAGCTCGTACCTCGTGCGGTGCCTAGACGTCACCTAATCTACGGCGACAAGTATATACAAAAAAGAGTACCAAAAAAATAAATATATATATATATGTATGTATGTATGTATATATATATATATATGTATATATAGATGTGGAGATTACTTTTGTTTGTCCATTCCTCGTTACACCAGACGTACGCAACGTATCTGTTGATCCGTGATCGCCTGTTCTACCAATTCGTACGTGTTTCTGTGTCTGTTCGCGTTGCGTGTGTCGCGTCGTTCAAAGAGTGACCAAGCTTGGTGTCCCTCATCGCGTGCGTGTATGGTTTTTTCTACTGGTATGTGTGTGTGTGTGTGTGTTGCGTGTGTTTGTTTCGCTGAATGCGTACACGCGGAAGTGTGTCGTTAAAGAGTACTCGTCGTGCGAGATTAAACTACGAGATTATGGTTTCGATCGATGATGCTGCTACGTATAGAACACGTCCATCTATTAAGCGGAACACACAACGTTGCATACTGGGGTTCCGTGCGTGCGCTTCCTTCCGTTCCTCGATCGTCGCACTCGCCTCTCAATTCAAGCTATAATATAATATATACTTTTACTAATTATCGGATTACAAGGGGCAACGGATCGAGCCCAGAGTCGTGCTCTTGGAAAGAAAAGAAAAAAGGTCGAACGATCGGTGGCTGGGAAGCGCCACGCCGGGAAGTTACCGTCGAGAAAAACCCGCTGGTTTTCCGTCGAAGAATAGAACCTGTAATAACATGTGTCTCGGTCGAGGTGAGATTTCATTTGAACTACGTCGATTGCATCATTGCGTTTGATTATATACACCGAGCGAAGAAATTCGTTAGGATTAAGAAAAGGTGCATTCGACCCGGCCGCCATTTTACGCGCGGATCGTAACGGCAGAGGAGGGGCCAGTATGTACACTGAAGGGATCCATGCGATTTTACTAAGAGTCTAGTTTATAACTTGGCGCGAAAAGAATTTTTTGCTCCTCGTACGCAATTTCCAATCTTTCATCGGACGTATGACGAGCCAATTAACTACGACCTCGAGAAGCCGGCTCTTCCGACGACGTCGGGGATTTCTCCCTTTCGTCCGTTTCGCGCGGTTCACGAGGTCGAATCTTATTCCAAGTATACATATACATATACTTCCGCGAGAGAGATATTCACCGTTCGTTTTTCGAAGAAGGAACGTGCGGGCCTAGCTAGAAAAAACGTACGTACGTAGAACCAGCGTTACGCCTCGGCCGTCGTCGTGCCAATCGTTTCCGGATACGCCCCCGCAGGATCATTTATCAACGGTGTACTTATCGCGCGTACTTTTTTTTACGTTCTCGTATCCGCGACGCGTTCGTTAATTTTGTACTTTCGTTTCTTTTTTTTTTTTTTTTGAAAACGAGCAGGACTGTCTTCGTACGACGGGAGCCCGAGGCCCGCATTTTCGCTTCTCTTTTCCCCCCCGAAACGACTCCCGTAAAAAGTCGCTCGCGCTGCTTTCAAGTATTGGCAGAGAATCCGGTACGGTTAGACAGACGCGATCGCGCCCTACGAAAATTCAACTATCGACTTTTTAAATATTCCATTTACGCTCCGTTACGTTGTTTTTTTTTTTATCCTCGTCAACTTTTTCGTTCTCATTTGCTTTCACTCACTCGCTCGCTCACTCACTCGCACTCTCTCTCTCTCTCTCTCTCTCTCTTTCTTTCTTTCTCTCTTTCTGTCTCTCCCCCACCCCCTGCTATGACTCTTTCCCCCTTTTCTTTAATTTTTTCTACGCTTCGCACTCGGATAAGTTAATTAGTAAAAAATCATCTCTCTCTCTCTCTCTCTCTCTCTCTCTCTCTCTCTCTCTCTCTACCTTTCTTTCTTTCTTTCTTTCTCTTTCTCTCTCAAATATTCCGTCTACGAGCGCGAGTCGCGTTATCCACGCGATAAACGCATGTATAATATATATTTATATATAACGCACCTATGTAACATATTCAATAAGTCCTTAAGAGCTAAAGACTGTGATACAGAGAATTATCTAATACACAGCGGTTTGAAGCGTGGATGTTTTTCATTATCTATTCAACATTGAATCGCGAACGGTTCGCCTCCCGGATTCGAGTCTCTATTTTTCTATCACTCTCTTCCGCGTTTCTACCAGCGCTCGTCTCGACGACTCTTTTAAACTCTTTCGATTGTTCTCTTTCTCCCCCTCTCTACCGTTCTATCGATCTTTAAATCTCGCAGTTTCGCGTCGAATCAGGTACTCGCTATATATTCTCTTACCATTTCGTTTCTTTCGTGCATCTCGTGGCCGGAGCTCGCCCTTTCCGACGACGACCGACGGCCGCGTCGCGGTTCTCCATCGACGAGCTTCGATCCTCTCTCGATCGTCCACGGAAACGTGGGACGATCGACGAAAGAAAGAGACATCATCTTCCCCTGGTTCTTCGGTGTTCCCTTCCTTGATCTTGGCTGTTCGAACAAAGGACAGCCGGGCGATCAGAAGGAAGAAGAAAAGTCTGTGTTGCGCCGGTTTCGTCGACGAGGAACTCTCTCTTCTCCGTTTGTCTCGGCGACTCGCTCGTACAAAAGGATCACAGGCGATTATCGGTCAACGGTGGTTCCGTACCGTTGCGGCCCTGCTCGATGCCAAAGCACGTTCCTCGTGGTCGGTGTTCGATAGACGAGGGACTCTGTCTGCCTTCGCCCGATGCGCCGCGAGAAAAAAAATGAGACGAGCGAACGGGCAAGGAGAAGAGGATCTCGCGAATCTTTGCACTCGGCGATCGAACTCGACCCTCGGTGCTAGCAAATTCGTAACGATTCGGTAATTAAGATAAACTCGATCTTGGACAGACCGAGCGAGTCAATCAACGACCGACAGATAGTACGTATGAACGATCGATGTACCGAGAATCCATGTCCGTTCTTTCTTCTTTCCGTTCGTTCTTCTCGACGACCACGACTTCTCGCAACATCCAACTCGCGGCCTCTTTTTCCTCCTTCGGCATTTGGTGGGTCGATCGGTCGGTCGGTCGGTTCGTTCGACAGCGAAATCGACGAGTTCTCCTCCGCCGATGACGAACGTTTCTTCTCTTTTTTTCACCGTAAAACCGTGTATCGTTCAGGGTGTGCTCCGGATGCTGCGAGATCGGAGATCGAAGGTCAGCGCGACGCCGAGAGGATCGGCTGGTAGGTAACAGCGGGTGGTTTTCTTCGTCGAGTAACCGGTAAAAGTGTTAAAGTAGCAGTGGAGTTGAAGTAACTTGTAGTTGAATAGTAATTGTGGTAGTAGTGATAGAGTAGTAATAGTAGTAGCGATAATAGTGGTAGTAGTAGAATAGTGGTAGTACTGACGATCGAGTGGGTAGTAGTAGTAGTAGAGTAGTAGTAGTAGTAGTAGTAATAGTAGTAGTAGTAGTAGTAGTAATAGTGGTTTCGGGCTGTGTGTTCCGGTAGGTAAGTAGTGATAAGGGTGAGACGGACTGTCGGACGGGCCGGGGGAGTTGGGGTGTGTCGTGGTTGGATGAAGGGTATTTCTTTTCGTTTTCGGAGACGAGGGTGATGAGCACGGCCGGGGGGGGTGGATGGAGATGGAGATGGAGGCAGAGGCGGAGGCGGAGGCGGAGGTGAAGGTAGAGGTGGGTAAAGTGTCTCGTGGGGGATGGGGTGGTTCGTAGAAGTGGTAGTTAATTAGCTAGGGTTGCGAGATAATTAGGGACGCAGCTGGGGTTAACACCAGCGGTAAGGCACGGCTCGAGGCCGATCCGCACCCTCCTTTACCAGCGGCTTGTGGAATTCCCGACCTGGTCGAGAGTGAATCGTTGCCCAGCAATGCTCGCAGTAGTACTGAAACAAACAAATCACGAATCTATAGAGCGATTCGTTCCTTTGATATTTGACTCTCGGATGCTCGAGCCAGGGCGCAAAGTCCGAATGCGGTAGAAAAAATGATCCGACATTCGGTGTTGCAAGCAACGGTTGAACGCGTTAAAAGAAGAAAAAGAAAGTAGCGAACAACGACGGAAGAATGGGCAATTTACCTGCAAGCAGGTAACGTTGGCGCAGAAGAACGGCGCGAATTTACCTCCGCAACGTTGTCCCTGACATTCGTCGCACATTTGATCGTCCAGAACGTACGGTTTCACTTCGACCTTGGTAACGAAATACACCAGTTAAAAGCGTCAACATCTAACGATAATACGGTTGCATGGAATGGATGGAACCCCCGCTCGGTCCTGGAAAACTTACTCTTTTGTCTATGTCGCCGTGCTGCAGTTGGACGAATCTAGCCGATATGGCAGCTATGTAGCTTTGCTGATTACTGAAGGCAACCCTGCCGGCTCCTTTGGGATACTTGAGCTCAGGGTCGGTGTCGATGCCTGCGTAACAGACGCCGCCGTAAAGCCGATCCATAATCATAGCCAGCTCCACGGCTTTTAATGGTCGCGGTACACCGCCCACGAACACGGTCTTCCGCGGATCCAGCGGCATCGATGCGTCCAATACAAAGTCCGCGTCGCTCAATCGCCATGGTCGGATCTGTACCGGCTTGTCTTTGGTCGTCGGTGAACTTACGCAGAGATACAGTTTCTCCTCGTCTTGAATACACGCGTCGATCAACTGCTGCACAGACGCTTCGTCCTGCGTGCGAAACAAGTCTGCCATGAATCACTGACACGATCTATTCACGCGGGCTATTAGACGGTCCCGTTTTCTCAATATTATCAAAAATAACCTCGAGCCTGTCGGACAATATTTACAGTCCGTACGAGCACTTTCGTTTACGGCCCGCTCGTAACGCTGCCGGACGCTCTGCATAAATGGGACGATACTGAATTAGTCCGTCGCGTGACAGGATCCCATTTCAAGACAATCATGTATTCGATGCATATTCCCGAGTTCTGAACTGAGGTGAAAACGAGCCAGTGTAATCTGGGACGATCCAACTTGTAAAATTAATACATGATTGCCTTCGAGCAGTGATCTTTTCACACCGCAGACCGATTCGATGGCAATTTCTAGCGCAACGGTTGACGAAATCGGACACATTCTAATGCATATTTCGCAGCAATAAGTAGACCTAGTCTCGGACGATATTCGAGATAGTCACGGAACGTAACGTTACTTTCGTTTCCGTTCGATTGCTTTCACTGAAAATAGGAAACGCGTATGATATTAATGCGTTCGTTCGTTCGTTCCGTTCGTTCGTTGCCCGTGCCTGTTAACGATTCGTACGATATATCGTGGCGTTCTATTCGCGGATCCATCCTTTATAATTTAAAGCGAGTCGTGTGAGAAACGAGTTTCTAAATTACCTGGAAAAGCAGGAAAGCGTAGCCCTTTGGTGGAAAGTAGGATTTGCTCTCCGCTTTATGGGGCCAATCGACGACTAACGATCCAAAACGACGAAAACTGGCTTTGATTTCTTCTGCAATAAAACAATTTCAGCCGGGCGTGAGTAAAAATCGAACGGGACGGTTTCGGGCGCAGTCGTTAACGTTCCTGCGTTTCCGAAACATTGTGCTGAAAGAAAATGTGAAAGCGAACCAAGAGAGAGTTTGAAACGACACGAAAATTGCGACACATTGCAAACGCGTACAAATTCGAACACAGGACGCGTTAAATTGGAACCGTGAATTCCGTGAAGGATCGCGAACGATGAAAATTATTTTAATCAGGAGTTTACTCGTAACCTACCGTGTAAATACAATTAACTTTAATATCTTGTAAGATAAGTTTAGTGGTAAAATTAAAAAAGATAGATTAGATTGTTTAAAGTGTTCGTATTAATTGATTAAAAAATTGATGAAATAAACGAGTAAAGAAAGCGAATGTACCCTCGTCGATGTCTGGTGGCAATCCGCCGACAAACACTTTCCTAGAAAAGCGTTCTCCGGTCTCGCTACCCTGGCTGTGAGGACTGCTCCGACTCGGCGACGAAAGCGGTGCAGCCTGGGAGGCGGTTATGCCACCCCCGACGCCAACGCCGACACCGACGCCGACGCCGACACCGACGCCAACTCCGACACCGACACCCACGCCAACGCCAACGCCGTCCAATTGATTCGGTGCGTTCGGATCCTCCAGCAGGGTTCCGCTCTGTTCCTCGAGACTCGGGAAGAACGGCGATTTACCTGGAACCGAACAATTTTACACGTTAGATCTCGAATAAACAGGCAATTATTTGTTAATACGTTCAGTCACGACTCGATAAAATATGGCGGGTTTTGTGATCGTGTATTCAGAAAAAGGAGCAACGGCCAACGGCGTTAGCGGTAATGTAACGCACGCGGCGAGAGTCGAGCTCTTTGGCCCTCGGCGGAACAAGGAAATCGCAAAGTGATTCGTATTCGGGCAACGACGAGTTCGTTGGCTTCGGGTTAGAAAGAGAATGGTTAGGGCACAAACGACGCCACGTTTCGTAAAGTTCGGTGGCTCGATATGTCAAACACTTACTGTATCGTCTCCTAATAGGAAATCTCGCTCTTCTGATAAACGTTGCCATTCCTGGCAAATCTTTGTTGCGATACGAACTCAAAGAAACTCGGAGTCGCGCGAACGTAACTGTTTGTTTCTTGCTGTCGTTAAGAGAAAACAGAAAACGAACAAGACATGCCAACACAACCGAGCGGGAACGGTCGACGTTGGTTTCGCGAAACAGTCGAATTCGAGCCTTGCGACGCTCACGTTTTTTCGCTCCAACGGAAAACGCGATAAATTTATATTTCACGCGTAACTGTAAGTACACGTATAACGTTGTATTAAAAACAAAATAAAAGTAAAAGTTTCAAAGGAATGGACTCAATTGGTCGCATTACCTTACGGGGGTTCCTTTTCTAGAAAGCTCTTCGATTCAGGTTCGACCATTTTCTCTACAAGTTTTCTATTTATGCAAATGGAAATTCGCCCCGGCTCGGTGTGCGCGGTTGTGTATTCTCGCCGGAGATTTCGTTTAATTTTGCAAATTCGCGTGGCAGGAATCGCTTTCGTACCCTCGATGCAATAAGCAGGCGAGAGCGGTGCTGGGGTGTATGGAAACTGCTCGATGGGAAACCGTCGAGGGCGAGGACGACGATGACGCGCGTTCGATTCGATTGTTACGGCAGGGGAAGGAAGAGCCAGCGACGGGAATCGGGCCATTTATGTCGGTCGCCTTCTCTCACCGTGAAATGGATTCGGAATATCCTATCGGAGATGATCGTCGCTGAATCGCCACGAGCATCGAGCGTTTCGGATTCGAGCGAACCGAATCGTCGCTTCGGTAATTTTTTCGAGCGTCGACCGACCGTGTTTGTTCGTCGAATTACTCGGTAGGAAAGCGTACGCCGCGATACTAAAAATTTGGAGATTCGGGAAAATTGGATATCGAAATATGTATTTTAAAAAGGAAATCGAGCTCCTCGATTATACGTTCGTAAATTATACCCGGATCGAGAAACTACCTTCTGTAAATGATACGCGTATGTCGTAAACGCGATAAGAAATTTAGGAATTATCTTTATCGCGGCTTTATAGCATCTACGCGATAGACTGAATTTCAACCGCCTTAAGATACAAAGTCGAAAGATAAATTTTCTAAACGCATCGACACTTTCAACCTGATTACGTAACGGCCACCAAATCGTTCGTTCGTTCCTTTTTCGAGCAACGAATTTCCACTGCACCCGATGGCGTTTCTTACGATATTATTTCCTCGGGATACCCTTTCTTCGAAACGAATTTCTACGTGAAAGCAAGCTGCGTACCACCTTCGCTCGCCCGACTACCCGTTCGATTTTGCCTGCTGGCGGTGCACTATCGATTACTCGACCGGGTCCTCGAGCCTCGAACAGCTCCCGGTTCGCGATTTCCCATCAATCACTGCGTGCGCGCACCTAACTTTCCCGGAGGTCTCGATCGTAAACGATTTACGACGCTCGATCGAAAACCAGACGTTGGACGTTGTTCGAGGCACGAATCTGTCACGAAGACAAATTCTATTTCTTCGAATTTTCAAATGTTTCACAAATAGATTCGATAATCTCGTTCGCTGTCCGAAAGTCTCTCGTAAATATGTTAATAGACAGGATACATCTACCAAGGAACAAAGTGTGCTCGGAAATGCGTAATTAGATTGAAACCAAGTCGTGGATTAACGAGGAGAGCTCGTCATTATTTTGCGCCTGGCGACGAGTGGGTTGTCGACTCCGAACGACTCTCTCAGCCGTGTCGTTTATTTTTAGGGCAAACCGGGGTGGTAATGTCGCTCGGAAAGCAATATAGGTCGCGTCAATACTCGACGTTACATTTGCCGTCGTTGATTCGATCGCGTTTCTAGAAACGGACGTTACCTCGAGAAAAATCGATGGAAACGGTTAAAAATACCGAGGATCGAAGCGACGATTCGCTCGGTTCTCGATAAACGCGCGTCGTTTACTCGGTTGGCGACCAAAGTATCGCGAATCTTGTTTATCTTTGCGTTCCTACGCGTAGATCGACCTGTCGTTTCGCGATAATCGTCGATATCTTATCTCCTCGTGCTTATTATTGCTGCAACTAAACGCGATGACTCATCGTGATCGACCCCTCGAATAATTTCGAAACCGTTCATTATATTATTATCTATTTACCAGCCCTAAAAATTCTTTTATCGTACGTATCTTGCCAAATATGGCCGACGTTCGATCCTGGCTCGATCACTGGCGCGTTTCTCGTTTACGAAACGATCGCGGAACGCGACGAAATGCATAAAACTCGCGACCTGTGATTACGAAAGAGCAACGTCGCGGAAGGGAACGAATGAAATGCAGGCTAATAAACGGACGAGCGTTAAGACCGTCAGGTTTACTGGCTGAGAATTTCCATTGTCCTCTGTTTCGTCGTTCATCCGGTTGGATTGCCGTGTACGGCCAACAAAAGAAGCGCACGCGCGTTAACGCCGCAGAATGATAAATTCCTGCGCTAGCGAATACACGCAGGGAACGCGGACGTCTTATAATTGGACCAAGAAATTAACAAAAAAAAAAAAGAAACATTTATGCCGGAAATATTCAAACATCGATCCTGTCTGCCAGAGTTATCGAGAAATAACTCTTACCGAGATCGTTCGACAATATTTCTAGAAGACCACGAAGCTGCTTTCCAAAATGACGGACCAAGATGACTCGATAAACTCCTTTATTATATTTATTTTATTTGGATTTCGTTCATTGTTGCAATCGTGATGGGGATTGGACGTCGCGAGCGTTGGATAATGGGTGCTTGCGTTTTCCCCGTTGGAAGGGCGGCGAGGAGCAGACACGAAAAATACCGTGGTTTAAAGCGAGCGTTAGTTTTACGGCATTTGCGCAACGGAGCACGAAGCTGCCCTAGGTGCGCTGTAAATCGATACGTGGCCGAGGGAGGAAACTACGGGGAGAAAACCGAGCAAAGATACCAGGATTAAGAGTCTCGAACGGAACCCCGTTTCTACCAGCACCGTCCTCCTTCTTATCCTTTCCAGCTGCACGTGCGTGGAGTTCAAGCCGAGGCGAAGATGGCCGATCAAGAATATGGAAACCGAAAATGGAATGTTTACGAATTTGCCAGTATAAACGCTACAGAGACAGTTAAGACCTACATTGCACAACCTATATGTATACACCTACAAGAGGAACAACCTTTCTCGTTGTTTCTCGATCCGCGTGACATTATTAGCCGATTTTCCAGGCGGACGAGCGTGGAAGGCCTTACCCCGGATTCGATCAAAGTTAACGTCGAGCCGTTTAGCGAATGATTGACGAGCAATCGAGGCCAGGCCCGGGGCCTAAAACCTCCTAATCGATAGGAGCATGGCGTGTGCCAGCCATGCTTCGCGTCGATGAAACTTTAGCTGATCCCGTAATCTTAGCACCCCTGGGATGCGCGCGTATCAAATCTCCTTTCGATTGTTAAACTATATCCGAGGAGACTAAAGGGGGTTCGATCGGTTAAACAAACAATTATTATTATTTGTTGGGTCGTGTGGTAGCTATCGGGCATTTCGGTCTGCCGCGCGATGCTATTACACGCGTAAAGGGTGAAATTCGTAGAGGGGGGAGAGAAGAAGCGGGAGCAAACCAAGGGACGATGCGGGCCGATAGGTTGCTCGGAGAAGGTCTGCCGCCACCCCCGAGCAGGGGAAGCACCTCGAGGCTTAATCACGATTCGACAGGTTCCCCGGCCCTTTGCAACGATCGGTTGCCGGCCGCTGCGCTGCGCTGCCCGGGCCGAACAAGTCGGTGCATGCGTGATCGTGGCACCAGAATAAACTCGAGTCACGAAACGCGAACGCAAGGGTTCCAGGGATCGACGGGGGGCACCGACACCGATACCGACACCGACACCGACACCGACACCGACGCACCGACACGTATAATAATCTGCACCGGACAATCGCACCCTTATTGCCAGGGAGCCGGGGGCCGGGAGCCAGTGCTCGTACTTGCATTTCGGGGAACGCGACGGGACGAGCCTTTCGGCCAAAATTATTTAACACTTACCCCGCGCCGCGCCGCCCCAACCAACGCGGCTGACTCACCGCCGCCTCCTGCGTCAGCGTCGCTTCCTTTTGCATAGCTCGTGCTCATCCGCGTCGTTTCACGTTACACACACCCGAAGACTAATCGAGAACGGCTTTGGCCGCGCGAGGGAAGCGTCTGCGTCACCATCCATTTATTTCCGTCCTAATTATTACTCCGTTTATTCCTCCGAACGATATTCCACCTTCGTTTCCAAAAAACCAGACCTCCAAAACTCTAGTTATTTCGTAGCTGAGATTTGCTCGACAAATTCGAAAAAAGAGATTTTTTAGGACAACGGATCGTTACTGAAACAAAAGTTTCTTCCCACAAACGTGTTTTATACGCGAGATTTATCGAGTTACCTTAATGGAAGCTTCTCAGCGGCTAAAAGCCGCTCGACCAGCAGTAACCGCGATATTTTAAATCGTTTCCAGAACGCCCACTTTGACCGTGACGTTTCGCGAATCGAAACAAAGATTGGCGAAACTCCGAGAAACTGGAGAATCCCTCCGTTTGGATCTTCAACGCTTAACGAAGATTTCAGAAGCCCGACACCCGCGAGGCAATGAACAAAATGGAATCGGAGAACATTTTATCGTAACAGATGCATCGTT